ATTGAATTGACTGAAGCTGTCCCAATCTACCCTACCCAAGTCTACCTTTGCAGCACTTATAATATTCCTTAAATTTCCTCAATATATAAAGCCAACCCATGATATTTTCTATTTCTTCCATTGCTTTCATTAGGTTCTATTGCCTTAACATGTTACCTACTCTTCTAATGTAAAGCTACAACAATAATTACCTAACCCATATATCTAATTATTTTGTCAAACATCTTAAGAAAAGTTCTGTTCGTGTAATTCGTGCAGCTACCTATCCTTCATCTTCCCAACACTAAGCTAAAACTTGTCTCCATCCTCTGTAAAGAACAGAGAGAATATAAGAATTTTATGTTGACAAAGTGTCCTCCTCAAATTAACAGTTATAACCAAAATTGTTTTTGTTTTTATGCTAACATTCATTATTTCTCTGTCACTATTGTTTCAAGCGATCCTTTTCGATATGTTAACATTTTAATTGCATGCGTATGTCAACAACGTGTACATCAACAACAATAACAATATGTATCTCCTTTCAAGAGCCCACTAACATCTTCATCTCAATACTCATCCCATGTCAACAACACTCAAGTAAGACAGGGATCCAACAACAGAAACACTTGACTCTCTCATAACTCCCACTATGTTAATGGGGCCAATGCTGCGCTCAATTTAGTTCTTTCGTCGTCTTCATTCAGTTCGGTTGTGCTTTGTGATGCTCCCCATAAAAATGTGAATAATTTAGAAAATAAATGAAATTATCTTACAAAAGTGTAAGTAAACCAATAAATAATCAATATTACATGTTTATTTGCAAAAAATTGATAAAGAAATGTGTTAAAATACAAAATAAGTCAATTTTCATTTCCCGTTCGATATGTTTGCGTGCTACCGTTTGTCTTTTCGTTTGTTTCATTATGTTTTGCGAAAAAAAAACGCAATCCGTTTGTATTTGCAAAAAAGAGCAATGTTTTCGTGTTCGGGAGTCTGTGTTTGTCAGGCATGCTTACCCATATACGCTACCGTAACTGAGGGTCGATGGGTAAACACATTTTCTCTTTCTTTCTCTTTACGTCAGTCGTTTTTAATGGTGAATTCTCAGTTACGCTCGCACACACTTGCTCTCAATTTAATTTTGCCCAGCACTGGTGTTTGTGTTCGTTCGTCTCTAAAGAGTATGAGAGTTCGATTTGAGAAATGTAAGAGAAATTTACGAGTACGACTTAATAAGAAGATATCGTTACTCTTGTGTGTTGCTAAATCAGTGCTGGGCAAAATTAAATTGAGAGCAAGTGTGTGCGAGCGTAACTGAGAATTCACCATTAAAAACGACTGACGTAAAGAGAAAGAAAGAGAAAATGTGTTTACCCATCGACCCTCAGTTACGGTAGCGTATATGGGTAAGCATGCCTGTGCTAAATGCCTATAAAAGAGAAATCATCAATGATATCCGCTACCGGTTAAAAAGCTTTTATATTTCCTCTTAATATTTACGAAAATACGAAATTCGTTGAATAATCAGAATGCAAAATGTTAAATATAATGTCTTTACTAAATGTTAAATTAACATGGGAGTATCATATTTCTGTCGGTCCGGTTCGTTTCCGTACTTACGCGATAACATCGGTGGTGAATAAATGTATCGGCGGTGGTAAATAATTGTGTTTTTTAATATCGGAAAAAAGTGGTAAACAGTTTGTGCGGTTCGTTTATATTTGCTTCGCGTGTGTGTTGAATTTAAAATGTGAAATCGGTATATTATTTAATCGGTTAAAATGCTTTCAACATCGATATGTTGTTCAATCGGTTACAAAAGCTTTAGCCCTAATGTTCATAATGTTAAATGGTTCGGTTCGCGAGTATTAGTTGTATACGTCAATAATAATCATGTCAATCAAAGTGGTAAGTTGTTTTTATGAGACTAACAAAGCCATAAATTTCACATTATTATTATTATTACCTTCACCACGTTGTGGTACAGGGTATTTTGTGTTTGTGCATATGTTTGTAAGAGGGAAAAGGAATCGAGATAGACCCATGGTTCCTCTTGAGAATAAGCATAGCATTTTCTGAGTCAATTTACGCATGTCCGTACGTCCATGTATTTTTGTGAACAAAGTACAGGTCGCATTATGATCCGCTTTGGATGAAATTTGGCACAGCTCACTTATTTGGACCAAGGACGAACCCTATTGAAATTGGAGAAAATCGGTTAGATTTAAATATAGCTCCCATATATAGTTTCCTCCGATTTTATATCAATGATGCACCAAACTGCCAATATTTGTCCGATTGGGACAAAATTTTGCACGGAGTACCGAATTAGATCCAGACTGATGTCTGGGAAGTTTTGCTAGAATCGGTTCAGATTTGTCCAATTTGTGACAAAATGCATAGAATCACCTTCTAAGTCGATTTATGCATGTCCGTCAGTCTGTTATATATATATATATATATATTCGTCCGATTTAATATAAATGGTGGAATAGCATACTGAATTAGGTCTAGAATGGTGTGTGTTAAGTTTCTTGAAAATCGGTTCAGATTTAGATATATATATATATATATTCATCCGATTTAATATAAATGGTGCACCAAAGTCCCTATATATCTTTCGATTTGCACGAAATTTGGTATAGCATACTGAATTAGGTCTAGAATGGTGTGTGTTAAGTTTCCTGAAAATCGGGTCAGATATAGATATAGCTTCCATATATATTTTCGTCCGATTTAATATAAATGGTGCCCCAAAGTACCTATATATCTTGCGATTTGCACGAAATTTTGCATAGCATACTGAATAAAGTTTAGAATGATGTGTATTAAGTTTTGTGAAAATCGGTTCAGATTTAGATATAGCTCTCATATATATTTTCGTCCGATTTAATATAAATTGTGTACCCAAGTCCCTATATATGTTTCGATTTGAACGAAATTTGACACAGCGTAATGAATTACGTCTAGAATGATGTGTGTTAAGTTTCCGCAAAATCGGTTCAGATTACAATATAGCTACCATGCATATTTTTCTCCAATTTAATGTAAACGGTGCAGAAAAGTCAGTATATATCTTTAGATTTGCACGAAACTTGGCATGGCATACTGAAATAAATCTACAATGTTGTGTGTTAAGTTTCCTTAAAATCGGTTAAGATTTAGATATATAACTCCCACATATTTTTTCGTTCGATTTAATGTAATGGTGTGTTAAGTTTCCGGAAAATCGGTTCAGATTAAGATATAGCTCCCATATATATATTCGATATAGGTCCCATACATTCGATTTGCACAAAATTCGGCATGGCATACTGAATCAAGTCTAGAATGATGTGTGTTAAGATTCGTGGAAATCGGTTCTGATTTAGATATAGCTCCTATATATTTTTTCTTCCGATTTTATGTAAATTGTGCACTAAAGATCCAAATGTTTGTACAATGAAATGTAGGTAATATAAATTAAACTCTGACAAGTTTCGTCGAAATCGGTTTAGATTTAGCTATAGGTGCACCAAACTCCTCATTTTTATCAGATATATGCTTTTAATTGATTTAAGCAACTCTATATCTGAGCAAATGAAAAATTTAGTATAGGTTGCAGAATAATATGTTTATGGAACCAATTTCATTTTACTGGTCCTTCCACGTCTGTTAGGATTCAGCCAAAGTGGTGAAGGGCATCATATAGTCGGCCCCGTCCGACTGTACTGCTTTCCTTACTGGTTTAAAAATAATTTCTTCCAATTTTTTTAAATAATCTTCTGAAGAATTAGCAGGGCTAAAAAAATAATTATTTTATACAAATACACTTTGTCTTTGCACCAACTTTTCAGGACAGTATTTTAGTCAAGTTTTCTTTGTGGTCGACAAATGCGCTGCCGATCTTTGTCATAAGGAATTTTGTTTTTACTCTTAAACAAACAAAAACTTAAAAAATGTTTATATAAATTAAATTTTTAATTATTGGTTTTTATTGTTTTTTTTTTATAAATACTTAATAGACAATTATAATTTGCTATTATTATTTGATACTATTTCTTCTGTTCCATTTTATATTTTTAGTACACATTGCTTACTATCTGAAATGTTTCGTAAGGAATATTTTTATTGGTATATAATTTTCATTTTCATTTTCAATTGTTTTTGTTCTTCTTGAGAAGTTACACCGTTTTTTTCTCTACAGTTATAGCTAAAATGTATGAAAATTTATTAAAATATAAAATAAATTAATAAGAAAAAAAAAAAACGAAAACAAAACGTTTTGGAAGTATTGCAGAGAGAAACGAGAAAAGAAAGGCAAGGAAATGGAATAACAAAAATGCAATGATGACAATGATAATGACGAAACACATGCAATATAACTCATTCAATCATAGAAAATAATGGATGCGAATTGATCAAACAAAGACATTGATATTTTTTACACAATTCATTTAAAGATACCGACGATGGTGGTGGGTAGGGAATCGATCGACAATTAGTCGTAAAATCTATCAAACTTTTTTTATTAGTATTTTTGGGTTTCAAAATATTTATCTTAGTTTATTTAGGTTTAACCATAAGCTTATAACTAATTATAAACTTATAATTTCATTTTTTTATTTTAGATTGTGTTCTGTATTATTTTCTTCATCTTTGTTTTTAAACTGGGGGGTCTAAATCTTGGCATATTATGTTTGTCTACATTTCGTACATATTGACTTTGTCAGTATGATGAATTTAAGTATCAAGTGTTTTTTGAAAGTTTTGTTGTAATATGTTTTGTTTTTTGGAATTAAAAAAGTTCTCTTTCTCAGCTTCTTCTTTCGTCCACTTTTATAAAGCTAATTTTTTGTCGTTTTCTTTTGTTGTTCTTCAGCTTGTTCTTCATTTTGTCATCCATCCATTTATAATCCATTAATAATTAACCAGAAGTGTGTTTCAAACACGCAAATCCATGTGTTTTGTTGTTGTTTCTGTTGATGTTTCCTTAAAATGTACAAATATGATGATGCAAGTGAGTCTGTGTGAGTTGGTTTTGTTACATGAAAAACTCTTCGGTGGAGTGTGAAAGCGGAAGTCACGTTCGTCCAGGACGATCTAATATTGTAATTTCTATTACTCGCAAACCACGATAGGTAGGATCGATAATTTGTAAACCTTTGGGATGATAAATGCGTTCATTTTGGGAAGCAATATATTTGGAAATTTTACGCAGAGTCTGTAATGAAAATTAGAGATAAATTATTGCAATTTATTGTATGTATGATTGTATTTGGATTACTTACTTTTTCATAATGTGTCTCCGAACACATATAGACCAAATAGGCAGTTATACAACCAATACAACCTTCACAATAAGTACTGCATGATCCTTTTTCAGCTTCCGCAAAAAATTCATTTAGTTTATTTATGGTAGACTCAAAGACATGTCTTTCGATCTGTGAAAGAAAAAAAAATAAACAATAGAATAAGAATTAAAATTCATTATCAAAATATCTTTTAATCATATTGTTTAAAGTATTAGTTTAATTTAGGAGAAGGAGTTTGTTTAATGGGTAAAGGTGAACCTTTTGTCGTATAGGTCATTTGTATAGAGGTAGCTCGTTCGATTTCGTTTTTAGCAGAAATTTTCGGAAAATATTGTCAGCATAGACACATCCACTGCACTTGTTAGACGATGCAAAAAGAAAAGCGGCAAAAGTGATTCCCAAACATTAAACTAATTTTTTTCGAAGCAGTGTTGTTCGAATTCAAGAGTCCACCATTTTGTTATTTTTTGAGCGAAGTCAATAATCCTAGTTCATACGGCCAGACATGTACTCTTTCTAACACCCTTGGATGTTCCAGTGAAGAGTTATCATGTCCGCCATAACAAATAAGGTCTTTTCCTTAATTACCAAAAACAACGTCAAAAATTTTCAAATTATTTTTCTTCTCTTTTAAATCTCTACAAACCATAACATGCATTGGTATTCATTTACCAGCCCAATGAAAATCTTGAAAATTTAAAATCGAGAATGGGGGAGGTCCCCTTAAATGTGATACTGCCGAGGTAGAGGTGCTTAACATGTATATACCGCGTTATTTTCCCCAACATTAATTTCCTAGTGGAGGGGATTTCAATGTCCACCATGATTTGTGGCAGACGGCCCGATTTCATCACCTCTGAACGTCGCACTTCTTTAACCATAGAAAAGTCAACTGACATGGATTCAGAGAGTTCACCAACCGGCGCTTTAAAGAACTTTCCATTCCTTCTGAAGCACGGGTAGAAGAAAAGAAATTCTGGGACATGATTACAGCTGCAGCCACAAGATTTCCTACAAATTCTCAGCAGAACTAGTTGGCCTTACAATTGAGCGTGATAAGCTCCGTCGATCAAACATAGCAGATCCCAGGGTCAGGGAACTCACGTTAAAGGTCAGCAGATTAGTGGCTGAGCATAAAGGGAATACATAATTGGAGCACCTGAGAAATTGTAACATCGGTACGGGTGTATGACAGGATCTTATAGCCTAGACAGACGACAGCCTTAATTTGCATTAACAGCCTTAATTCAAATTAAATTGTACATTATCCTCATTGTTAATGCACAAAATCAAACTGAATTTATACTGAATTAACCAATTTCAATATGGCAATGCTGTCGAAATTCTATTGATTGTTGTCAAATTTGTTTACGTTTATGAAAATAAATATGAGAAATAAAAGCAAATTTCAAAAATTTTTCGAATTGGGAGCCATTTTGCCAACATTATAGCCGCTATTCTTCCTTTATGTTAAGTATTTTTTTATACATATGTAATTCCGAAATATGTTGCAGAAAAAATGTCAATATATTCCTCCTACATACAGACAAACAATTGTTTTGAAACAAAAAAACTGTTTCGTAAATGCAGAAACATTCGTCTGTCAGGGGTAAATATTAATTCAAATTAAGAATTTGTTAATGCAAATTAAGGCAGTCGTCTGTCTATGGTATTAGTTACATTTAATGACGAAACTGTGACTGATCCGAAGAGATTCTATTTCATACGAGAGCCAGACAAGTGCTCTTTCGAATCACATTGGATTTTTTGGATTCGGATGTCCCCTTAAGTACATCATCTGCATAAAATCGGACTATATTTGAAAGATATTTTTATATATATTTTTTTATTAAAATATATGGAATTTATTTCTGAATCTGGTCAATATTAGCTTGTGCAAAGTTTAGTTCAAATCGGATAGTAATTTTCAGAAAAATACTGACAATTTTGTGTGGGAGGTACCAGAAAGATTGGACCAATGGATACCATTTTCCGATTTGATCTTAAATAGGCAAAAACATTACGTTGTCCTAAGTTTGGGTCGAATCGCACATTCCATTTTGACCCTTTGTGGGGAATTGACCGATAAATCCCATCTTCAAACCTTATAGAAACTTGGTTAAAATATTAGGTCGGAGAAAAAGAATTCCATTATTTATTCTGCAGATGGCTATACTGATAGATTTCTCGTAAAGAATCGATCAAACAATTTCAGATTTTTGCTCGATGGAAGTCTGACATTTCGCAGTAAAAAAAATATTTTGCTGTTTTTTTGTTTGGTGCATTCAGTTGTGAGTTAAAGGGTGTTAAAAAGGAACTGGACAAAGAGAAAATTCTATACATTTTACAGTTTTTATTTGACAAAAGCGAAAATGCAAACCAAGCGGCTAAAATTGTGAATGGTGTTTTTGGTTCCGATACTGTAACAGCCAATTATGTGCAATTTTGTTTTCGTAGATTCCGTTCAGGAAGGAGAGATGTCGTGTTCCACCAGGACAACACTATGCCACACACCTGCAGTGACTCGCCAGAAACTTGGGAGCTTGGTTAATGCATCCGCCATACAGTTCAGACTTGTCACTAGGGAGGATTGTGAAAATCCACTACTAGATTTTTTTTTGCGAATAGAGAGAAGTCTTCTATAAGAGAATCATTAAAAATGGCAACAAATCATACGACAAAACGGTGCACATTTAGACCAAATTGGACATTCCGAAGCATGTTAAATAAATTCCTATAGTTCATATAAATAATGGATTTCTTATTCCCTAACCAAATATTAAGTTCTGTAGAATTTGGTTGAAATCGGAAGTTCGTTCGCATGATGATATTACGAGCCCACCAGCCAGACAGACGGAATTTTGTAAATCGACTCTAAATTGTCTGAAATGGATTTGTTCCAAAGAAACATGCCGTTTAAAAACAATAAGATCGATGAGGCACATTTTTTTCGTATACATACCCTAATTAGCCATAAGGCTGAGAGTATTATGAACACAAACTGGATTTCTTTAATGGAAAGAAACCTAACAAGTATTTGGAGGTTGTTTTTATTGAAAAACCAAACTTCGTTGGCTTCATATTTATTATTACTTCCTTCAAATTTCAAAATATCATTTTGAAATAGTTAATATGTACCAGTATTCCGAATTTTGGTAATAATCTTTAACAACAATGTAATCTTTCATTGGGAAAGATATGTCTATAAGATGTATAATCGGGTGGAAAATAAGGGTATTTTCGGATCTTTAGATCCACATTTTTTATGAAATCTGTCGATATTTTAGGGATAATAAATGCTATTTTTACTTTGATTATAAATATACAAACTAAACCGTTCAGATGGGCGGACACGCATCAATTATATCAACGAGATTCCAAGTTTAGGACAAAGTTTAGCAAATTACGGACGCCTCTCAGATCATTATTAAATTTGTACCATAGAAGCTGATTTCAACAACATATATTTTTTTTTTTTTTGGAGGAAATAAGTAACCCAAAGTACTAAAAATACCCCATATTTTTATTAAATATATTTAAGAATATCACTCCGAAATGTTTGATTTTTTACGGTAGACATAAATTTTTTACTATCAAAACCACATTTTTTAGAAGAACTTCATACTTCCAAAGATATGGGGTATCCAAATTTAAATTGATACCGGAGGGTTAAGACTTTATCCTAGGTACAGACGGAAAATTGTAATACGCGAGCAGATTTTTTTTCCGGAGATTAAATACTTCATCCTATGAACAGACGCAAATTGGGCTACGCGAGCAGGATTTTCTTTTAATTAAAATGTGTTACCAAGTAGTCGGCATTTAAGACTTTCTTCGGAACAAATGCACTTTACGGGCACCTCTCACATCATTTTGAAATTTTTACCATAGGTAGCCATTCTGATGCTGATTACAGCAACAACATTCATCGAGGGGAAATCAGTAATTCCCGAGATATGGGGTTCCAAAGTTCAAAAAATACCCCCACTTTTTACGTTCTTTCCAATGTAATGCACATTATTGTTTACACTACAAAAAGTTACTTATAAATAACCGATCAGTAATAAATAGTACAAATTGAGTTACGTGAACAGAATTTTTATTAAATTTAATTTTTTTTAAATAGCCGGCCTTCGGCCGAGGCTTTCTCCTATGAACAGGTGGAAAGTTCTTTAAATTTAAATGTTTTCCAAAATAGAGGATTTAAGACTTTATCCTATGGACAGGTGGAGAATTGGGCTACGCGAGCAAAATTTGGAGTAGTAGATGTATAGTGGTTTTTGGAACCGATCATGTCCTTGTGGTTTGGTTCCCATTCATGAAAAAATAATGAAATTGAAAAACAAAAATTTCTTTTAATTTAATTGTTTTCCTAAATAGCTGGCCTTCGGCCGGGGATTTAAGGCTTTATCCTATGGACAGGTAAAAAATTGGGCTACGCGACCAAAATTTTCTTTAAATTTTATTTTTTTTTTTAAATAGCCGGCCTTCGGGCGGGGATTCAAGACTTTTTTCTATGGACAGGTGGTTGTGGTCTGCTCCAAAAGGACTATCTGCTTTAAAAAATATATTTTTCGGAGTGGTATTCTTAAATATATTTATTAAAAAGTGGGAGTATTTTTGGAACTTTCGAACCCCATATCTGGATAAGTACTGATTTCACCCCGTTAAAAAATTATGTTTCTGTAATCAGCATCAGAAGGGCTACATATGGTAAAAATTTCAAAATGATCTGAGAGGTGTCCTTGCATTTAAGCCCTTTCTTCTGTGGACAAGTGGAACATTGGACTACGTGAGCATAATTAAAATTTATTTTTTTTTTCTAATAAAGATTGGAGGTAGTTTTTTGAAATTTGGAACCCCATATCTCAAAAAGTACTGATTTCCCCAGAAAAATATATGATGAGCTACCTATGATAAAATTTTCAAAATGATTTGAGAGGTATCCGTAAAATGCATTTAAACCCAAGTTTATCCTCAAATATAAATATTTAAGTCCTTATTGTTTTCTATTACATGCTTCAAATCCACAAGGACAAATTACCCTGTACCAAATAGACTTTTTACATGAATGCTATGAGAATAAAACTATGATTTAGGAAGATACCAGTTATTCCTTAAAAAACGGATACTTGCGTACCCGAACTTCCATTACACTTACCAATCCCTCCAACTCTGGTGGCAATCGGGTATGGAATTTCACTGCCGTACCTTCGCTATAATCGCGTTGAATGAAAACTTTGTTGAAACCATTATTTAGCGCTGAGGGTGTTCCCACAGTTCCAGCTTGCGACATTTTTCCTCTGATTCGTTCGACCCCTTGTGAATTTGTACAGCAACAGCAGCAGCGAGCGATTAGAGACTAAATGATGATAGCACTGAAATTTAGAAAATCCAAATTCTATGTGATTATCCCATACGCACGAACGCACACACAATCGCACAAACCAATGCAAATAGTAGCAAAGGTAGATAAACAAAAACTTAATTTATAGATTTTTTCTTTACATTCTATTTTGGTTTTCTTGTTCTTCGCTGAATTTTTTTAGGGTGTTTCCAATTTGTTGCTTTGCTTTCCAGAAAACACTCCGTCACAGTAGTCAGGACCTTAACGCTACGTTGCAATTAACACTTTGCTCAGCTGGAACGTTAATAAAGTTCAGTTTTTAACTAATTTCTATATATTTTTGGCTAAAATCTAATCCAGAAATTTTGATATTTTTTTCACTTGGATTCAGCAATAATTTTTTTTCTTTTCCTTTGATGTCTCTTTTCGATTACATGATTTACATTCGATTACATGCGTGTTATCGTTTATTTTGTATAATCGATAATCAAAGCAAACGTTGAGTAATTGAAGTGATTGGCAACGCAGTGGAACGGTTTTTAATATTGTTCCATAAAAATTCTGTAATGAGCTTTTTAACCCTTTCAGTGTTTTTGTCGAATATATTCGACATTTAAAAGTACTCTCTTTCTTTGCGATTTTTCGGTTATTCTATGTACCGTTACTATTGATGTTTTTGTTTTTGCTGAAAAACAGAGTAAACTGTCCGAGGGTTAAAAGAGCAATTGCCATTTTTTCTAAACTATGTCCCTTTATATGATTTTAAATACCATATTTTAGATCTTCCTTCCGTCGAAAAAATTTTTGACACTGAAACGGTTTAAAATTAACAAAGTAAATAACTGCTCTATATTTGCATCCAGAACTTACTACTGAAAATGAAACAGTATTTAATATTAACTGTAATTTTAAATTTTATCTTTTAAACATTTACACAAAGAAGTTGATGACTGATGAAATGCTGAAAATAAAATCGTGTAATTTTGCACGAGGGTCAATATTTGTGCGTGGTGTGTTTTAAGCCAAATTTTTTGAAATTCGTACAGAGACAATCGAATTTCCTAAAATTTAAATCTAGGCATAGAAGACTAAATTTTGGAATGCGGATCACAGATGCAGTGTAAGGCAAAAAAGTGGGGTTGGGAGAGATAGCATCTTTGAAATCGTTATGGGGATTGCTCATGTTAGGTTTTCCATATCTCATTTATGAAAACTTATTTTTATTGGTACGAATGGAGCTGGAACTCTGGAATTTGATATTTGGGTTTGCGACGAGATGGTGGTTATAACAATACATACTATAAGTGAGAGAAAATTTCTAATTAGAACGAGATTTAGAACAATTTTGGCCTGTTCTCGTACTGCAAGAATCTACTATTTTTACTACGATAACAAATTTTCCTTTATGATATCGAGGAAAATATTACAATCTAGTATAATAATAAAAATAATAATAATAAAAATAATAATAATACCTTCGAAATAATAATGTATAAGTGTATGGAAAGTTTCAAATGAAAATTGTAATGGTCGTCGATGTTAACACTAGATTGCCGAAAGCGGTCATTTTGACGGTTTTTCAATTTCAAGTACAAAAACAATTGTGTATATTATGACACAGCCTTTTAAAATTTGGTGACTTTTTGTACCACATAGAACTACGTTTATTAATCATAGTAGTTGCTGCCTCCCATCTTTCATTCCCCGTATCCACATGTGCTATACCTATATTGCCTAAAAGCGGTCATTTTGATCATTTGTGAAATATTAAATAATCAAACTACTTTTATTATTGTATAAAGTAAATTTCTTATATGACCAGATCAGTACAGCAACATCGAAACCCGTTTGCTACTCTAGAAACACAAACGAACATTCCCCACTAATAAATAGTTGTTTTTTATAAAAACAACAAACTGGGATTCAGCCTGACTATATTGCAAAAACAAAATTAAAAAATTAGTTTAAAAATTTTTCTTTACACTATAAAAATTCTTTCAGAATGAGGTCATTTTGACCGATTTTATGCAATATATACAAAATTCCCGTCTTTCTAGTGTTAATATAGATGTGATGTAGATTTATCGATTTTCTGTTCATTTTCGAACAAAGCTCTACATGATTGGCATAAAAAGCCACAATATGAAGAAAAAAAAATATCTATAAGTTGCTGTTGCCTATCTTGAATAATTGTAGCATGGGTCATCCAATCAAAACGCAACATACCAAATTATAGCAAATTTAGCCAAAAATCCCCCAAAAATCGAAATTCGGAGGTTATACCAAAACGTGGATCTATATATTTCACTTTCAATACAAAACCCCCTAGGAATAGTAGCAATTCGAGCTCTATGATTTCAATAGACAGACGGACGGTCATTCACAAATCGACATAGAATTTTGGTCTTATCAAGAAAAAATATTTTTTATAGGGCCTTCGGTGAATATTTCGAGGTATTGCAAGCGGAATGATAAATTTAATATACAATCCACCTTATGTTGGAAGGTATAAAAAAATAATAATACTCAAGGTATATTTAATAAGGTGTATGCATCAGATACAACAACAAATATGTTACAACATTGTTGTTATAGAAATTAAATTGTCATGAACTTGGGTTATTGGCGGTTTTAGGTGAGTGAAAAATAAAGTTTGAGACCTGGTCGCGATTAATTTAGGTTTCCCATAATTAGCCCATAGCTTCTCGTGATGTTTATATTGTGGATTACAATCTATTTTTTCCTATGGAGTAGCTTTAAATCTTGCCTTAAAGAAAATTGAAGGACATAAATCCCCGGCCAAAGACTAAATCATGGAAATTGTGTTGACCGTATAAAATCTTTCCAAAAAGTTTGAAACCATATGATTGTCACTTACATCTTATTAAATACACCTTGATAATACTCTGGTGCTTCAAGAGTTCCTTTTATAATTACGTTTTTTTCTTTTAATTCCATTTTTATACCCTTCACCACACTGTGGTGAAGGTGCATATGTTTGTAACATATGTGCATATGTTTGTAACAGGCAAAAGGAAACGAGATAGACCCAGGGTTCCTTTTGAGAATATGCATAGAATCACTTTTTAAGTCGATTTAAGCATGTCCGTCCGTCCGTCTGTCTGTATGTCCATGTATTTTTGTGAGTAAAGTACAGGTCTCATTTATGATCCGAATTGGATGAAATTTGACACAACGGGAAGGGGAAGGCCATGAATTAGATGGAAAGACCAAGTAGAAAACAACATCTTGGAACGTGGTCTTAAAAATTTGTGTACTTGCGCACAAGACCGACGCGCTTGGAAATCTTTTTTAAGCACGGCTTATGGAACAACCGTTCTGTAACAAGCCAGCTAAGTAAGTAAGTAAAGTAATGCTTTGCTTTTCTGCATTTTTTTTTTAAAATATTTTTAAAAAAGCTCTTTAATTTAGTTAAATTATGAATAGAAAGCGCCGATAAAATCATTCACATATAAAACTTTTTGAAACAAATCAGTAAAATCTATCAAAATTGCCAAAAATTTTTACAGCACACGTAACATTTAGAAAATCACCTTTATTATAGAAAATAAAGATCCGAATGCACCAGAAATTGCTAGAATTAGTAGAAAACAATAAATAATTCTCAAAATAAATAAATATTTTAAATAAAAACGCAAACAAATGTGAATTAACCTAAAGGAACGATTCAACGATAGCCTTAATTGAAGAAGGCCAGAATATTTTTGTAGTATGTGAGAAAATATCGATCGATATCGGCATTTATTATATCAAATCGATTGTTCGAGTAGTA